AATAATAATAATAATAATAATAATAATAATAATAATAATAATAATAATAACAACTTTTAAACAAAAGATGGGGTTGGAAAGATGGCTCTTGAAAGGGACCAAAATTTAGTTCCAAGCACCCATATCCAGAAGCTTTTCCTACAGCTTCCAGGGGATCCAAACCCTCTTCTAGCCTCCAAGAGCACCCACACTCACCCATACACATATCTCTCCTGACATGCATGTAACTAAAAATGAAAGAAATTACTGGGCAGTGGTGGCACACTCCTTTAATCCCAGCACTTGGGAGGCAGAGGCAGACGGATCTCTGTAAGATCGAGGCCAGCCTGGTCTACAGAGTAAGTTCCAGGACAGCCAGGGCTACAGTGAGAAACTCTGTCTCAAAACAACAACAAAAAAAACCCAGATTCCAGCCAGATGGGTCTAGCTCACGGGGCAGACACAGGCAAATCTTTCTAAGTTTCTGGCCATCTAGGGCTACACAGTCTCAAAACACTAAAGAAGACAAAACAAAAGCTGAAATCGCAACCCCACAACTAAGTTTATTCTTGACCGTGTGCACTGGGAGCGCATGTCTCGTTTGGCCAGGAGAGTCTTCTCGCTCTTCATAGCAGCAGGTGAGTATTTCAGCTGCCAGTTCGTTAACACCAGATAAATGATTGAGCTGTTATGTCAGCATCTCTTATTAACTAACTCGTGAGAAAGTCACTCAGTTCCTCTTAGAGCCTCAACCAACTGGCTTTCTGCAATTGCTTTCTTTGGAAGAGTCTGTGACAAACAAGTGCCTGTCTAGTCTTGTTTATGCCCTGGCTCTAGACGTCAGCTGTCGTAGTGTGTGCTGCTGGCCAGTTTTCCAAATGCTCCCGACTGATTGAAGCTGCAGAAGGGCAGACACCTGATGGGTGGCCTTCGTGGTAGCTCAGTGTTTACTGTCCTTTTCTGGGGTCTTTCCTTTGAGCCACATGTTACATGCATGGAATAAGGAGCACATCAATCGTATTGTTAAGAGGCTCCAGAGAAGTCACCAGAAGCGCAGAGAGGAACAACTGGGGCAGCTGTGGGGCCTTTGTTTTTCTAATGTGGATGCTGGGAATCAAACCCAGTCCTCTGCAAGAGCAGCCAGTGCTGTATTCGCTGATCCATCTCTAATGTTAGTAAACAGGAGTTAATCCTAAATCAGACTGGGGATAGTCCTTGTCATGGCTTAAGGGAAGTAAGTGTGGACTCTGTTCTTACAGCAGACTCTCATTAGCTGGAGACAGTTTTCCCTGTGTAATAGTAGTCGTTGTTACATTATTGCACTTCTCCTTAAACTGTTCACACAAGCACAGATGTTTTCTTTCACAACTCTGCCTCAGATACCTGCTGAAATCAGACGAGAGAGGAGCCTCGGGAGTTACTTTTCTTCAGCCTTGATTTTGGGGGTGCCCACTGGAAATAATAGCATAACTTTAGAAGAGCTATGTTATTATCAGCTATGTTATTATAAGCTAATTCAGAACGCTCCTGTGTAGCATTGAGTTTATGTAGGAACTACCTCCGAGGATACCGTCAGTACGCAGGGCTTTTCAAAAGGAACTGCACGTGTGTGTTTGAAGAAAGTGTGGCCTGCGGTGGTGCGCTGAGCGCACTGACTCTGAGAGGCTAATGTTTTCTGATAACGATGTTTGATTTTTTCCCCACCTCTATTCATGTAGTGTATGGAGGCCAGAGTCAGCGTGGGGTGTTTTTCTCAATCGCTCTCCACTTCATTATCGAAGGCAGGGTCTCCCACTAAACCCCGAGCTTCCTGATTCAGCTGGCCTGGCTGCCCAGTGAGCTCCAGGGATCCCCACCACCCCACTCTCTCACCCCCAACCCCACACAGGGATCCCACCACCCCACTCTCTCACCCCCAACCCCACACAGGGATCCCCACCACCCCACTCTCTCACCCCCAACCCCACACAGGGATCCCCACCACCCCACTCTCTCACCCACAACCCCATACAGGGATCCCCACCACCCTACTCTTTTACCCCCAACCCTACACAGGGATCCCCACCACTCCACTCTCTCACCCTCTACCTCCATGCTTCCTGATTCAGCTGGCCTGGCTGCCTAGCGAGCTCCAGGGATCCCCTTGTGTAGCCCCCTACCCCCCCCACTCCTCAGCACTGATCTTGCAGGGGTACAGCACTCTGCGGGGGGCTCCCTTGAGTGCTAGAGATGAGGTGCTGGAGCTTGCACAGCCCAGTACTGACTGAACTGTCTCCCTGGCGCCTGGTTTTGTTTTATTTACATAACAAACCAGAGTTCTCCTCATTGTGAAGGCAGTATCTACACAGTTGAGAGGACCCACTATGCAAGTAGAATAGCCATGATGAGGGTTCCAGGCGGCAATAAGCCCTTGGAGATCAGAAAGTGAACCCTCAACCTGGACTCAGAAAGTTCCAGTTCTGTTGGTGACGCCACCATCCTTGTGACTCTTAGCAGCCCCTCATTGCTCAGTGACGATTTGAGTATTTGTTCCAGTCAGACCTTCACTCAGGAGCTTGGAGAGGGTTAGGTGAGCTCAGGCAAGCCCTGGCTACCGGAAGTCCTCAGGACGTGTCTGCTGTTGTGGTAAGGGCCATCGTGCATCCAAAGGCAGTCTTATAAAGTGTGATTTAGTGAGCTTTGTGGAGGGACGAGGGACGGTGACCAGTGTGGTGAGGTGGGCGTCCTCAGTACGCTTCTGTGGCAGATCCTCCACTCCATGTTGTCCCCGAAAACCATCTCAGGTCTGGGGTGATCATGGGAAGTAAGTGGGTGCCCGTTGTACTGTCCAACACAGCAGGGGGTTCAAGGCCAGCCTGGTCTATAGAGTGCGGTCCAGGACAGCTAGGCTACACAGTGACACCCTGTCTCGAAAGTCAAACCAATGAAATAGAAACCCAAATAGTAAACTCGTTCTAATTTTTCTTCCTCTAAGCATACTTTTGTTTTGTTTGCCACAATAAGATTTTAATAGAAGAAATTTAAAGGGACGTAGATGGGACCTTTTTCTGCTTACTAATCTGACACTGGTCCCTTCCCGAAAAAAAAAAATATGAAACAAAAACACAGGGGGAAAAAACATTAAAACAAAGTAATTTCCTAGATAGCTAAGCTTCTCATAAGTTCAGCAGCCGTCAGGAAACAAGCAGTTGTCAGATCCTTGCGGATTCTGTTTTGTCTGTGGACACCTCGGGCCCTGTTTGTCCTGGTAGAAACAGGAGAACGGACATCCGAAGATTGCAATCCTGTTTTTTAAGGCATAGTTTTTGTTTGTTTGTTTGTTTGTTTTTATTGTTGTTTATATAAGTGTGTCACGACTTTTCATAACCAAGATTATTCTGGGCAGGAGCCACCAGGCCTGAGCTCACACAGGCGCTCATCCCCCTGGGTGAACTGTTCCTTCTATTTTAACGCCTCTCATTGCATAGCTCTCTCTTCCCTAACATGCTTAGTCCAGCTGCAGCTGCTCCAAGGAGCCAGGCTCCCCACACGGCTCTGAGGTTTTGAGCCCCTGTGCTGCCCTGCTAAGGCTTTGGCTTGGAGATGTGACCCATTAAGTACTGGACAGCAATCGCAGGCAGCTGAAGTATGGAGCTGCAGAAATGCGAGAAACCAGAGCAAGACAGCAGCCATTATTTAACCACAGACACAGATAACATTTGGAGAGTACAGCTTGGCGCAGTGGCTCATGCCTTTGGTTAATCCCAGCATCAGGAGGCAGAACCAGGCAGACCTCTGTGAGGTCAAGTCTAGTCATTATTTACATAATGAGTTTCAGGGCTGTGTAGGGAGACCCTGTCTTAAATAAACAAACAAACAAAGGTTTGGAGAGTACTGAGGAGAAAAGTTCAGGAACAAAGTAAAACTTTGTTGCCCTTCAGACAACCACCGGGTGAACAACACACGGTAGGTAACACCAACAGCAGTTTGGATGGTTACATACTAGACCCTCCTTGTGCCAGCGGTCTGTTGTGTTCAGACAGGTGATGTCCCCATCCGTATATACTCAGAGTAGTAAGAGCTCTGCATCTAAGAACGGTCCTGGGCACCTCTCTGCTTCATTTGAGTAGATTGGTGCCGTGTGTGACCGTGGACTCCAGCGAGCTCTGAGATCGCAAGCTGAGCTGGAGAGCAATACTGAACTCCAGTGGATAAGCCACCCGGTTCTCCATAGAGGAACACAGTAAAGGCTGCTGCGTCCCTGAGCAGCGGGAAGCCTAAGGAAACCGCTTGTCATGTTCATTTAGCCTCTTGCGTTGTCTAGTTCTCTAAGACATGTTACAAGAAATGCTAACACGGCACACGGTCTTCCTCCTTGTCCTCAAGAAAAGAAGGCCAAGCAGCTGGTTGTCCCTTTCCCGACCCCCTCTGTCCCCGGTGCCTGTCACGCCATAGCATGCAGCTTCCTCTCTTTCATTGTACTGAGCATGAATCGTGTCTCGCGAGACGGGAATGGTTTTCACTAACAAGTTTTTGTCTGTGCTTTTATTATGTCACACTTCTGCACATGGCTCTGTGGCTTTTTTTTTTTTTAACAGAATCCATTTTCAAATTAAAAAAAAAAACGTTATAATAAGAGAGTCTTCTTTTTACCAATTAGGTCAGAGTCCTAAAATTTTAAGACCCAAACCCCATGGTTTAGAGCGAACTGATTCACAAACCGTAGCTGACTTTGCTACAAGAAGAAAGGGTATGTACCTAATTGGGGCATTGGGAATCTATTTATTTTCATACTTTTTTTTTGATTCAGAAGAAAGGAGAAGGGAAAGGGGAGCTTTAGTGGTGCTGCTTCCCAGTGTGCTGCTCTAAAGAGAATGCAGCTCGTGATGCACAGTGAGTCTCTTTGTTCCATGGGCAGAGGCAGCGTGGGGATCATTTGATTACGTGTCAGCTATAGTCAGCCTTGTCTCTGCGTTATCCCTTAACTTTCTAGGCAGCAGCAGGCTGTTTCACCTTTGCTTTATGGGCTGCTGTGAGCCCCGGTTGTCTCCTGTCTTTGTGTATATGTGTTTTCTGTTCTGAAATAGAATAAAAAGTAGTTTCAGTGTTTTTTACCATGGCATAACTTAGAAATTGACAGCTGAACTCTTATTCACCTTTCTATGTAAAATAAAAATAAATAAAGGAAACTTGAAGAAAAATCACCTTCATTCAGCCATTATGCTGAAGGTGTCTATTTTAAGGCTATGGCTTGGTAAAGCTCTTGACTCAGATTCAGTAACCGTCTTCATCATGCTTGAGCTGGGAGCCCATGCGATCTGCAGCTTTGAAATGACTACCTGGTGCTCTCATGGTATGTGTGAGATAGCTGATTAAGATTACATATTTTTGAACAAGTTGATGATCCTTGGGTTTGGGATCTAGCGAAGTTTCCGGTGATTTCGGCACGTCATTTTACGTGTGCTGCTGTCCGCTGATGCTTCAGTACTGGGGAATGAGTTTTACACAGAAGCTTAAATCCCCCGCCCCTGTAGATTAAATTTATAAAACAATGGTTTGATGAGAATAGAGCCCAGCAACTTTAAAGGAATTCATACTTTTACATCCTTATTTAATTTCTATTGACAAGGTGTGTATTCGCATTAAGAAATGACACGTAGTCGTAGTCTGGACCTTGAGCTGACTGACGGTCATGCATCGAAAGTTTTAGCTTTTGTCCCTGAGTGTTTAACTCTGACACTGCAGGCCTTGTTATCATTCGTAAGACAGTGTCTGCCTGCCAAGTATAAATTGTGAAACTGAGAGGATCTTGTTTGGTTTTCGAGGTTTTATGCACCTTCTCTTCTCTTTCTTTCTAGCCAAGCCAGCACCTCTGGAAATAAAGCCCCTGCCAGAGTGGGAAGAGCTGCAAGCCCCAGTCAGATCCCCCATCACCAGGAGCTTCGCTCGGGAGTAAGTGTTTTGCTCAAAACACGAAGTCTGTCAGCGGGACAATTAAAATGGTCTGTTTTATGAGATAACTTGATAAAATGCCTATTTCACGAGCAATAGGCCAAACAACAGCCCAGAGAAGCTCCCCTACCAAGGTTCTACAAAGTCAGAACTCTCGTGTGTTATAATAAAAATGTCCAGTATGCAACTGTAAACTAACCAGTGGTCTGGAAAGGATGCGTGTTGTCGTGTCGGTGTATACTGCAGTGACTGGACAGCTCTTCCTCGTGTTCATGGTGCTCTTTCCTTAGCTCCTCTAGATTCCCCTTGTCCCCTCGGCCGGATTCTGTGCACAGCACGACATCCAGCAGCGACTCCCACGACAGTGAGGAGAACTACGTCCCCATGAACCCAAACCTGCCCGGCGAAGATTCGGTACGTGCAGCCCTCGTCCATGTCTCCCTGTGAAACCAGTGCGGCTTAAACCGCGCTGACCATCTGCACGCTTCTACCCTCCCATCTTTCTTCCTATGCCTAGACAATCCAAGGCTCCCTTTAAAGTATTTTTGCTCTTTTAAGGTCTATCATGGTCTAATGCCAGCTGAGGTCAAATTGTTCTGCGTTACCATTGTAAATCATTGAAAAACATGAAGGGTTTTGTGGCAGCTCTGCCCTGTTGTAAAGAATTCCCGGGACAACCAGCTTATAAAGAATGAAGGTTTATTTGTTTGTTTGCTTGGTTTTGAGACTGGGTTTCTCTGTGTAGCTTTGGAGCCTGCCCTGTAACTCACTCTATAAACCAGACTGACCTCAAACTCACAGAGATCTGCTTGCCTCTGCCTCCAGAGTGCTGGGATTAAAGGCATGAAAGGTGTGTGCCACCATGCCTGGCTGAGAAGGTTTATTTTACTTGGAGTGCTGAGTGTCCGGGGTTGCTCAGTTTTGTTGCTTTGGGCCTGTGGTGACCCATGTGGCAGACCTACTGCCTCCTTATGAAGGCGTAAGTCACAAACAATCCCACACCAGTTTGGAATCATGATTAATCAAATGGCTGTTTATTTAAAGGGAATAAACTTACAGATCACCGGCCCAGACAACAGCCCTCTGCACAAGTAGCCTGAAGTGAGCCGGAAGCAAGAGAACGAGCACACGGCTACCGCTGCTTTTTAAAGCAAATGAGACCACGTTCAAGTGGGCTGGTATCTTAAAGGCTATTGGCTGAAGGAGCGGAAGGAGCTCCCACAGCATCCTTACCTGTATCCAAGTGAGAAAGAGCCAAGATCTCACACCCTCTTCAGGATGTGACCCCAGTGACATAAATAAAGACCCCACCTCTTGAAGATCTCACCACCTCTCAGTATTGTGAGATCAAGTCCTCCCACACATCACCCTTTGAAGGGCATTTCACATCCATACTCTAGGAGTTCACAGCCGTTCCAGCTGTAGTTCATTTAAAACATCCCCAGCTGTAGTACAATTAAATCCTCCAGGACCAGGTTATGACAGGCATCTGGGAGAACTGTCTTATGCAGAAGGTCTCTGGTGATCTTTCAGTTCAACTAAAGGAAGGACTAGAAAGAAAGGCATTACAATCAGAAGTCAAACAGAGGAAACGAAATTAAGAATTGTGTGTACCTTATGGCATTAAGGCAGGAAAGTACTTTTGTATGTCTAGTATGTCCAAACAAGCATGAGCTGGGGCTGGAGAGATGACCCAGCAGCCAAGAGCACCAGAGTTCAATTCCCAACACCCACTTCAGATGGTTCATGGCAATAACTCTACCCGCAAGAGATCCGGTGCCCTCTGCTGGTCGTTGTGAGTCCCCACACACACATGCAGACATCCATGTGCAAAGACATACATATATACATATACAGTTGTTGTTTTTTTTTCAAGTGGAAATAGCTGTGTGCCAGGCACAATCAAAAAGCCAACTGTGTTCTTTGTAGCTCCCCATGCCACCAGCTGCCAGGACTCAGTGGCCCACATGGCCCTTCATTAGAAAAGAATGTGGTTGTTAAGATTCCTCAGAACTCTTAACTGTTATAACACAATGTGTAGACAGGAATTCACAGGATCTGTTATGCTCTTGGATTTATTAAATAAGTGTAAAAACATTAATAGTCTCCAAAAAGTTAGGACAGTTTCATACTACATCTGATTTGTGTGTACAGATCGCACATTCATCAAATGAACCCTTAATATTAATAGGTTGTCAAAAATTTGAGTCATGGTCCAACACTACTACCATAAATGTTGTTAGATGATGACAAAATCCATCAATCAATTCTGCATATTTCTTAGAACATTAGAAAAACCTAGTACTATTGCTTTATTTTGTTACTTCATGTGCATAGTGCTTACAGTGAGTCTCAGGATCTTGGAATTTCTGTGAAAACCTATGTGGGGAAAATACTGGGTGGAAGGCTAGTGTGGAGATGGGCTGTTCTCCACTAAGGCTGGAAAAAGAGCCCATAGACTTCCTTTTAGAAGCTGAATTTCAGCCCCACGTTGGGATGAGAAGAAAGCCCAGCTCTGCTGTTAATTAGACAGAGTTCAGCTAGGAGTGCTGACCAGTCCTCTGAGGAACAGCCAACTGGAATTAACTGTGCAGAACTAGAAATTTATGTATCACTCTTACAGCTTAAAGTACTGTAGAAACTGCCCCAGCCAGGGAAAGGTGAAATGTGTGTTTGCATGGGTCACCTTCAGACAGAGCGTTACCCACACTCCAAGTTCAGAGTGCCTTCCTAGAGGGAAAGAATTGTGATTGCATTGCGGGCTTTTGTTCTTTTCATAACTTAGGAGAAGGGGCGTGTCCGCCATTTTCCCTGGGCATCCAGGTGCTCCCAGTCCGTGAGGTGTGCCACTGGAAGTCCTTGCCAAAGTCTGTCCACTTCTCCACCTCAAGCTTCTTTGCTCTCAGTGCTGCCCTCTGTCTTCCGGGTTTGCTGCCTGATTTTAGAGAGTCCCTTTATCATGTAGTTCCTTTGATATGAGGGGGAGATCAGGCTGAGAGAGAGGTCCTCAACTGAAGAAAGTACAGTCATGATCCACAGCTTTAGTTAACATACTCGGATGTATCTTTCTCCAAATAGCTTAAAATTAAATGTAGATATTTATTTTTAAATTTTCCATGCAATATATTTGGTCATATTATTTCCCTCCTTACCTCTTCACAACCCCTCCCTCCCCCTTTAAAAAGCAGGACACATGAGAGTTCCTCTCTATAAAAATGTAATTGAGCTGGGCACATAGGCAAATCTTCTAAAACTGTCTTAGTCTTTACCAGGCTCCCTTCATTTGAAAATATAACAGCCAGGCAGCGGTGGCACACGTCTTTAACCCTAGCACTTGGAGACAGAGGCAGGTGGATCTCTGAGTTGGAGGCCAGCCTGGTCTACAGAGCCAGTTCCAGGCTAGCCAGAGCTGCACACAGAGAAACCCTGTTTCAGAAAGCCAAAACCAAAACAAACAAACAAAAGAATGCTTGCTTCAGCTTTTGCAGTTATGTGTGGCTTGTTGTCTAAATATTTTTTATTATTGCTCCTGACAATTTCGTGTGCACATGTGCCTGGCTGGGTTGCCTGTACAAGCATGGGGAAGGGGTTATTTACTTGAGCAAGGGACACTTACCAGTGGCTAGCTCCACCACTGAGAAATACGGCTGCTTCCTACTGCGGCTTGGGGGCTCGCCTAGGTCAGGTCTTGCTTTAACTAAGTTTGAAATAGAGCTCAGGAGTTCAAGACCAGTCTTGGACAACACAGTGTGACTCTTTTCCGTTCCATGGGGGAAAAAAGAGAGGGAGCAGAGCATATCTCCTGAACGTCTGCCCACTGGTCGCTGTTCTGTGCTTTCAGAATCTCTTTGGCAGTAACAGCCTTGATGGAGGGAGCAGCCCCATGGTCAAGCCCAAGGGAGATAAACAAGTCGAATACCTAGATCTAGACCTAGATTCCGGGAAATCCACGCCACCACGGAAGGTAAGTGAGACGGACGTGCCCTGTAAGTAATTCAAGCACACTTTGAAAGACCGTCTTCTTTGGAGAAGTTTTAGGGGCCTGATGGAAATTTCGCGACTGTTGTTTTCTAAGTCACAAGCTGCAGAATTACGAAGATGCTAGCGTTGTCGAGGTGTGGGAGTTTTACACTTTCCACTTACTGTGGTTACTGTAGACATGATTACTTAACAAATTCAGAGTTTGCCCATCCTTTCACTCTCTCTAGAATGAAGGAAATGTGGCTTAGCTGAGCATGGTGGTGACACGTTTAATCCCAGCCTTCAGGAGGCCAAAGCAGGAGGGTCTCTGAGTTCAAGGCCAGCCTGGTCTACATAGAGAATGCCAGACTAGCCAGTTCTACATAGAAAGACCCTCTGTAAAAAAAGAAAGAAAAAGAAAATATAGCTCAAATCATGTGCTGATTTTGTTTTCTTAAATTTTAATTTCTATCAAACCTATGGATTAAACAGTAAAATTATATATATATATATATATATATATATATATATTTTAACTTTTCATCTGTGTGTGGGTATATGCACATGAGTGCATGGCTCGTCAGAGGCCAGAAGAGGGGAGCCGAAGTGACACATGCTTCTGAGCCTCCTTATGTGAGCACTAAAGACCCAGTTCAGGTCCTCTGCAAGAGCAGTGTACACTTTTAGCCCCAGTGCCTTTCCAGCTCCTGGTTCTGTAAGTTGTGTTTCCTACATTCCCCTATGTGTCTCTCCTTCATTCATCCCCACTGCAGTACATCCTGTAGAAGTCCCTGTAATAGAGCTCTGTTGGGATGATTTTTTCAAGTTGTGTCTCTATTTCAGAAACAGGTTTTGTTGAGATCACATTTCTTTCCTCCCCCGCCCCCACACATAATTATGCAGGCGGAAATTTCCTGTCTCAGAGCTGCTAGGTCCCAGATACCCGGCAGCTGCTTCTAAATTACCACACAGAGAGTTAATAGTACTTATAAGTACCCAACTAATAGCTCAGGCTTATAATTACCTAGCTCTTATATTTTAAGTTCACCCATATCCCTTATTTATACCCTGCCATATGATGGTACCTCTTCTCAGTATGGACATCTTGCTATCTGGCTGGGGGCTCTTCAGTCACCTTTCTCTTTCCCATCATTCTTTATTTGGTCGACAAGCCTATACTTCCTGCCTAGATACTGGCCAATCATTGTTTTATTAAACCAGTTCAAGTGACAGATCTCTACAGTGTACAAGAGGAGTATTCCACGGCGTATTTGGATAATTTTCAGTATAATAAACTTGAATCTTTAAAATTAGGGAGTTTGCTTACATAAGATGTCATTATTTGTACCAGAGGAAAGCTCAGTGCTGTCATGGTAACATGACACCGTCTCCTAAGAGGATGAGAGACTCAGTTTCCTGGGAAGGACACTGTCAGGGCTGGCAGGGAGTTGAGCTATTGAGATTGATTCTTGCCTGACCCTCTTCACCACGTGGGGACCCTCTTCCACTGTCTACTGTCTTGCTCTGTACGTGTCCCATCCGCGTCGCTCTTCCCTGTCTGAATTCACAGTTTCATGAGAGTGTGTGTAGACATAGACTTCTTTCCGCTGGTCCACTCTACAGGAGTTGTGTTATGATTACCCTGCAAGGTGGAACCTTCAGTGAGTCCCGTGGCAGGTGAAAGACAGAGAGGCCACACCACAGACAGAGCTTGAGTGTGGAGTTTATTGAGGACAGGGTAAGGGGGAGGTGACAGACAGACAGACAGTGAGCTGCTTCCTCAGAGAGAGGCAGGAAGACGAGAGCAGGAGTAGATAGAACTGTCTCCTAAGGAGACAGGATACTGTCAGCCATGTGCAGAAGGGTAGGTGATGCACTGTGCCAGGCTCCCAACGTGTGCCTGGATGCTAACAGTGCTACCCAACCCACCGCACCCCCATTTATAACTTTTTCTCAAGTCTCAAAAAGTCTGTCACTGCGGCTTTACATATGGCGTGTCTGCTTATTTCCTGTGTCGCCTGCCAGTTAAGACCCCATACACCTTCTATTTCCACATCCTTGGATTGTTCTGTCCTTGGCTTCTCTGTCTAATTTTAGATGGTTTTTATAGCTCTATCACCAAATTCACTAATTCTCAGTTCTCTTTTGTTGAGAATTTTGGTTTTGGTTTCTTTGTTGTTTTCGATTATTGTGTATTTGTCTCTGAAATGAAATTCTACTTGATTCGCTTTAACTGATGTTAATCTCTCTCTGTTGTGTGTTTGATACCTTTTCTGATTAACCCGTTAATACTGTGTGCACATACTTTATAGTCTGATATAATAATTTCAGTATCTGAAGTCCTCAGACGCTGGAATTTGTGCTTATTCTTTCTGCTAGACTACATTCTTTATGGCTTGCCTCCTTGTGTGTTTATGAATTTTTATTGCAAATTCAGGGTTGAACTTTGAGGACCTGAATTTCCTGCACAAAGCAACTCTAGTTCCTTTGCTTCTAGAAGCCAGTTGAGATGACTACTCTAGGACCACACCAGCTTCCTTAGAGGCTCTCCAGCTTATCCGGCGTCTCAGTTTCAGCACCCCTTCTTCCCTAGCCCCCCAGCATCCCTCCTTCCCTAGCCCCCCAGCATCC